AGATAAAGTCTAAGGTTTTCGGCGTTGATTACACGGTACCTTTAAATCGACCTGAGGCCATTTAGCCCCGCCCCCACAAGTCCCAATTCTTTTCGACGATTAGAGGGGCTACGGCCCCACTTCAAACCCCCAAACAGAAGGGGGCACATCCCCCCTGTGTAACCCCCTTGTGCCTTTTTAATTGGGGTGGCGCCGAAAAAGTGATCACTCTTTTGAACAACCTTTCTCAAACGAAAAAAACAGTATTTGGGGCCTAAATAGCGCATGTTTTACACTATTTGAGGCCTCAAAAGGGGTGGGGGTGTAAAGTCTTTAAAAACACGCATTTATGAGGTAAACGGTTATAAGGAACATAACCTTTTTATTGCATCTGCTGCCCTTTATCATAATTTTTATCAAAATCCATTATTCGTTTTTTTTAGCTGTACCCGCTCGGCAGTCATACGGTAACTCATTGCTAAGGCGTAACAAAATTTCACGTGCAGAAGGTCTGCCGTTGCTAGAGTGCAGGTGCAAAATGCCCGAAAATTACCTTTATATGGATTTTTGGCATTGAATGAAGTCGGTTGATATTAGATATTGGCACACTTGCTCAATACCGTTCTTGAGGCAGTATTAATGCACTTTGGATGCATTTTTTTACTAATTAAAGTAAGATATGCAATAATTATTAACAAATTCTGGAAAGGTTGATCCTTCGATAGCAACGAAAACATTTTAAACACAGAAAACTGAGATTTTTCACGAGCAGGAATGAAAATCTGGATTATTCGCAGATGTTTCCAGTAAAGTACCTCCGAATTCTGCATATTCTGCACATATAGTGTAAATAAGTATACACAGTAAGAAATATTTAAAATTAAATGTGGTAAATACTTTGTGTTTACTACTTGCATTTACTCTTTATTGATAAGCAATACTCGTTACACTAAAAAGCAATACTCGTGACACCGGCGGGCAACTCCAAAGCAATACTCGGTACACTGACATGTGTATTTATTCTCAAAATGCACTGTTATCTGAGGTTCTATTGTTGATTGAACATTTACAACATAAACATTATCATCATTATCACATTTCACTCGATTCAAGTTTTTCTTTTAAGGAAGTATATGCACAAAAACATCAAATTTGACTGATCCGAGCTCATTTATCACGTGAGCAAAGAGACGAATTGTATCTCCTAATTACATTTCAAAGCTATTTCTCAACATTTTTGGGGTTTCAGTAACTAGAGAAATTATCGAAGTATTTGTTTTTCTACAAAATTTATATCAAACCAATTCAAAATGACTAAATATCGTCACTAAACATACCTTCTTTCCTCGTTCAAAGTCGCGAAATGGGATGAAAGTCCTCATAATATCGAGCAATATCCGGGGTACGGTATACCGCAGTGAAATTGGCAGTAGAATAGAACCACACCATTTAACCTTACCAGACTAAACTCCAGACTAAATTATTGAATTCTTTAATCAATAATTTGACCTTGAAATCAAAGAAATTGACAAACTGAGAGCTCAAAAGTTGAGGGAAGGAACTGCTTAAAATTATGTAATCTATCGACCAATATGCAACAAAGGAGCCTGTCAAGTCATACTTTAATTATCAGTTTTAAAACTATGAAACTTTTTTTCAGATTGGACATTAATTAAGGAACTTAAATGAATAATTTTACATGACAACTTATAAATTATGCTGTAACATTCAGAAACTATATTTTACTTAAAAGTGGAACCTTTATATCACTCAAGATGGAGTTTGAATTATACCACTGCACCAATATTAATGGACAGATTTATATGTATTGATCTGTATTGATATATGAAATAAATGTAATACTAGCAGTACTAGAGCTATCATTAAAGGTAATTAATACCGCCACCAACAACTTAGACTTTTTTAAAAAATAAGTGGTCTGAAGAAAAAATCAGGTCTTCATATAAACTTGCTTTACACTTTTTGATTTACAATATCTCATTCCTACTCTAGTTTAACTGTCCGGAAACAATTTTACTATTTTTAGTAACAATGACCTTGACCTTGGCCCCAGGCGATCCAATGCAATAACAACTGGAGTTTCCACATAAGATTGCTATATACAAAGTTTGATAACAATACCTCATTCTAAACTCTAGTTAATTATCATCCGAAACCAACCGACAGACGGACCGGACTGACCAACCGAGACAAGCTGACCCCTATATGCCCCCCTAAACTTTGTTTTTGGGGGTATAATAACTAATACATTATATCGCACACACAATAAAACCCTGGAAAATGTTGCACAAAAACATAATCTAACTTTACCTTAGTTCAGACCAGCTGGCCCGAGCCCTAGCTAGGTACGTCTGAATGGTCAAATCCCGAAAACTCCATGATCTGCGCATACGATGTGACCGTACATCCATTTTTTTTCACAACTTTTACAATCAGTCACTCAGGTCATTCATGTTTACTTTTATACATGTTTTCACAAACCTGTATATATTATTTCCTGACAAACAAATCACAATTGCTATTCCTATCTTTTAGCACGATTTTCTCAAGTGTGAACGCAAACAGCCAATAAATTTTGTACTTCGTAGCAAATTAAACATTTAACATTGTACTCAGAGTCCTCATTATTTCAAATGACATACAAGAATCTTGTATCAAAATTCATTTGTGATTTTTCAAGACTCTTACCCGATTGACATTAAACTCATGTATGAAAGCTTTTCAACATCACAGAACCCATGTTAGGTATGGAACGTTTTAGTGCCTTTCTATAATTCATGAAGGACGTTCATTATTAACGGTGCTCCTGAAAAGTATCTGAATCATTTATTCCAATGGTTATGTCTTATTCTCCCGATATTTTACAAACATTTATCAAATGATGTTGACACTGTGTTGCTCAATTAAAATCGGGTATTTCCTTCCATTGACAGTATCGATTGAAAAGAAATGATACACTTTTACAATTTCCAATATCCCGATATGTAACAGAGCCTGATCAAAAACGGACAATTTTTCTCAGGTAAATGCTGATTACGTACCAATATGATAAATAAAAATTTGGTATAAAAACCATCAAATTACTACAATGCAATATTGTTGCTCATTTAATTGTAAATTTCAATCCAATAAGAATGTTGACACTTTCCAAAAGTCCTCTATCTCACATGAATTCATATAATAATCCTTTCTATATTTAGGTGTCCTGTGAAAATATATGAATATAATCAAATAAATTATTGCCTGTACTATTTTGAAATGTACCTGCACAATAAATGTTAAAATAATTTCAAATTCCTTTCAACTTTTCCACAGACATTTTCTTTCAAACAATTCATATTCCTTGTTGCTAATTTTAGTAATTGACACCTATTTTGGTTTCAAGTTACATTTAATACATGTATTATTATATTGTCACACTAGAATGTTATTTATAGCAAAAACTAGATATAAAGACACAAGTCTAGATCCAAATAAAGTGAAATTCCTTGTTAATGCCTGTCAATTATTTACAAAATTTGTGTAAAGGTGTAGAAAAGATTATACAGTTTTGGATCATTTTGTTGTAACTTTCATTGATTTCTGTTCAAACAGTGACAAACCAATTAGTCTCCTATTATTTCCGCCCTTTGATCTGTTAACGTCCATTCACTTGTACTATAAGCAAACTTAAGAAACTTATTGTCCAGTCAACTGATCCTGTTATTCTTTACCTCTAAAGTAGCATAAGTCCATTTTTCTATTATATCAAAGTTTATTTATTAAATAAATCTTATGGCTAAACAAAAACATGTCAAGAGCGGAATTTTGGGTATTATTATCCTTAGACAAGGACACTTGTTTTTCTAATAACTTAAATCTTCCCTCTTCCATGAGAAAGAGATAACGAATATGTTCAAGTTAGAAGGATTGTTTTAAACAACTGTCCAAAAATCAACTTTAAGTGTAAGATAAACTGATTATTGTCAGGCAAAATTGTTGTAATCCTCAGGTCAAAGACTCAAAACTTTTTTCCCAACTTATAATCTACGAAAGTAAATAATCTCTTCACACTTTTTCGTTTCGTCTTTTACAGACTCATAAATTAAACTATTTAATATATAGTCTTAAAAGTCCTCGTGAATCTCAATTGTGTACCATTAAAAACACTTCTAACAATATTGTAAAGATAAGCAACAAACATGAAGAGCGTTCATAAATTTGAAATCTTGAACAAGTAAAACGTTATGTTTAAACAATTACGCTGCATCATATATATATCCATTGTGATCAGATGTAAAGAAAGTTTTACACATAACAAGAATTGGCATTCAAACTGGCGTTCAAACAAAAGTCAGACACATGAACTGCATCTTACGACAAAGAAACGAAGCTTCGAACCAATGGAGACAGAAAAGTGTCTTTGTACTTAAGCAGATGCTCAAACAATACGAGCAAGGTCAATAACTCAACTAACATTCACGATCCATGAAATCTCCACTACGCATCAAATAAAAAGAAATGAATGACGGAAATATTCAAATATTAAGATATTGACGTATTGAAACTTTTGCCTTTGAAAAGAAAAGTTGTGACATAAAAGAGCTGTTGTACAATATGTCTCATTCTAACAATGAAATTCTGAAAGAAATGTTAATATATGCCATAATTATCCCTGTGAATCGTGGACAAAATGAGAATACTGTTTACAAAGGCTATGAAATAGGTTCAATAAAAATCATAATTTCCTTTTGTACTTGATCAATTATTAGCAGTAATTATTATTCAAAAAAGATAGACACGCAGTTCGTCTGAGAGACAAAATTAGGAACATGTACTTACACCCAGTTAAATGCAAGGCAAACTATTTTGTTCCCTAAAAGCAAATATGATTTCTCTCATTTTCATTCACCATTAAAAAAAGTTGGAAGACTCAGGCTTGGGTAAATGTTTTAAAATTTCCTTAATTCTTTCATTATTCTGGACCTGTGTAATTGTTAATGTGAGAATTCTACTAATGCTTAATCATATCCCCCACCCTGACCTGCCCAACCCCCTGCACAATCAGAATTAGATGGTGATAAACAAGTGTTATACTTAGCTTGTGGGTTAGTTGATTGCACAATATGTCTGTGTGAGAAAGAAATAAAGCATTGCTTAAAGAACATAGGTGATTCTACTTAGGTGCTCATTTAATTGTGCCTGAAATAATGCAAGAAGGGCCACAAGGTCTTCCTCCACTAGTAAAACAGGAAAGTTGCCATAATTTATTTTAATATAATGACCTCTACTGTGTCAGTGGGATGTAAAACCACTCAAAAAATAACAAACAAACAAAAAACCAACAAAAACCACACCTTGTATCAATATTTTACTTAATTGCTTTGTAGAGATTCTGTCTTTTCTTTTTCAAATTATAATATACTGTTCCATTATAATATTCCTTGATTCAAACTTCAATAGACCAGGCTGCTCACTGATTTTTAAAGTTTTAATGTTTCATTTCAATTTATAATCTCCAAAATTGACAATGCTCAGCTCCAAAAATGGAAAATGGACATGCTGCGAAATGCCGCTTACGAAATTCAGCAGGTTTTAATGTTAATTACTGTAATTCTTTTTTACATTAACAGCAGATTGTTATAAACTTGAAATCTATCCTTTTCAGCCATACTGGTAGGTAAAGTTTTTTTTTTAACCATTATTTAAAGCATCAATGAAGTCTACAAGAGTGTTAACTGCATGCTTGAAGAACAATGTCTAAAACTTCTGTTAAAGTCTACAAGAGTTTTTACCACATTTGGATTAATGTCTACAGCATTCCCAGTAGATTTTACTTCAGTATTGACAGGTACATTTCACAGATGGCTGTACATGCAATAATATTGGATAGACAATTGATCACGTCATTGATTTCAACAGAAATTCCTGCTCACCAGTGAAGTGAAACTTGGTATATATCCAATGTTCTGCTGGGATCCCCTTAAACTGCAATGACATTTTCAGGAAATGGTTTGCTAGGTTATCTAAATCGTATAAGTGGACTTTTCAGACAGAAAACTTGAGTTATCATAATTTAATAATGCACAGTATGCCAAACCATTCATATGTTATGGTAAAATAAAAGACATAGCCTTATAATAAAGGGGTATAACTCAGGGAAGTTTTGTGCTAGACTTATCGGTATTTGGAAGTGACTAACAATTTGGTCATGAGAACATGTTTCAAGTGAATTCTTTAAATGGTTGTTGAAACTAACCTTGCATGCGAAATCTTAACCAGGAATATTGTAAGTTTATTAAAATGTATACTTATTTAGAATTAGCGGTCCAAGATAATGGCCTACAATTATGTTCCAAAAGACATGCGTGTTAAGTACTTCAGACACATATATTTGAAAATGCACTCGATAAGCAGTGGTATAAAACTGAAACTTTTTTCAAACAACCTGTGGCTTTCTAAATTAAAAAGAATAGCATAATAAATCAGAAATATGAAAAAATATGAAATAAACACTAACAACTTTAAATACAACATTAATATAAGCCACACATTTAAATTAAACTTTCAATTTAATTGTAATTTGATTTGCAGTTACGGTATAACTATAGCTTTCAACAAGCTGATCTATTAGTTAGCTGCTGTAAAGACAGTTCTGGCATAATTAAAAGCAATGCTTTTTGGGGCAAAGGGAAACCACCTATATTTGGGTATAAATCATTAATTTTGATTCAAATTTGTACCAACAATAAAATTACTGTAACATGTAGACAGACAGCCAGACAGATCCCTGATAGATCCCCATATTCAACTGACCCTTTTGGGTTTGCTCTGATAACTGATCTATTATTTCATTGATTAGATTTGGCCTGCATATTAGACTTGGTTATTACAGTTAAGGTTAAAGGGAGACACAGGCAAAATTTTCATTTCTTAGTTTTGAAATTTTCATTCATTATTCTGTAAATGTCCTCAAAATGAATACACTAAACAGTCAAAGGAACAAATCTTTTCTCCATATAAAGAATAAAATGGTGTTTTCCTAACTTGACCCGCGTGGGTCAGGTTAGAGCGCTAAAATTTCACAATAGTTGACACTCTGTACTCTGGAAATGTTAAAAAACATGTCAAATCAATTACTTAGACTTGTTTCAATCATACAATATCCACAATATTTTTTATTGTAACTTCCAGGGTTTGTTCAAATCGCATTACTTGTTTTTAAACTATTCGGTGATTCTGTTCGCGTCAAAATTTCATTCAACATATATAGATATATTTAAACTTCAAACCAAAAATATATAGAATTTATACAGAAATTCATGTTGGGACTTTAAGAAATGTCATTTTAGGGTGATTTGAGTACAGAAAATCATTTTTATATTTTTGCCATTATTTTGCCTGAGTATCCCTTTAAGATATTCTGCAAGAATACAGACAATTTTTTTTTATAAATTTTGAGCTATCCAAATTATATCCTTTTTTCCCCCATTTAGAAAAGACTAACCAAAAATTATCCCGGCTTATTATAACCAGGTGCTAGTTTATAAGGAAAAATTATAATTTTCTTCACTTCTGATTTGAACAAAAATGATCGCCTATTATTTGTTATATGAAGAGGTTACACTGTGTCATATATTTCAATGTTATCATGACATGATAATTATCATAATTTGAACGATTACCTAATTTGCTGGGTAAAATTTGTACAGCAAAATATTTAAGCAAAAAAAACTTTCCATAAAGGGAGTAATTTATTAACTTTTTTGTTACTCTTTCTGCAGTTCTGTTTATAAAAAAAATTTATAAAATAAACTTGGAAAAAAAACCCAACAAGTTCTCTCCCTTCCAAAAGATGGAACAAGTTATCAAGATTTGTCTCCCTTTCCTTATAAAGACAGAAATTATTTATAATGCAACAACTTGAACAGTGTGAAGTATCTGATATTTAAATTGTTACTTTAATTTGAATCTTTAAATAAATCAAGACCAGTTTCTGGTATACTAACAGAAGTATTGTTCCTGCAAAAGAAAAACAGTATTTTGAGGTATTTTCCAAATGAATGTCTGTGTTAAATAAACAAAAAAAAAAACAACAACATTTTATGAGACTTCTCCGCTATTTCATAATCAAATAAAACTCATATTTTTATGCATACCTCCAAACTAACAATGTGAGCGTCCTAAATGCACTGTCAATGAGTTCATGGGCTACTTGTAGATTTAAACATCTGACCTCATTCACCTGTAGGAGATAATCTCCAACCTTTAGCTGCCCACTGTCAAAAGCCTTTCCACCATCAACAATCTGTAAATAGTCATTAAAGAACGAAAATAGTCAAAGAACTAATAAAGTCAAAGAACAAATCAAGTCAAAGAACATTGAACAAATATAGTCAAAGAACAAATAAAGTCAAAGAACTAATAAAGTTAAAGAACTAATAAAGTCAAAGAACAATTAAAGGCAAAGAATAATTAAAGGCATAGAACAATTAAAGGCAAAGAACAATTAAAGGCAAAGAACAATTAAAGTTATAATAAAGGACTAACAGAAAATTTGATCTAACTCTTGTGACACAATTACCATGGACACTGATTTTTAAGGAATTTTTTTTATTTACTTATTTATCTTTTGGGAGGCGATTGGGGGGGGGGGGCTTAGGGAGCTGGGGGCATTTTGTATTTTCATACAGAAAATAAGGTAAACAACACTTCAACATATATACCGTACATACAGATTTATCAAATTAGTTTCAGGTCAACATATTAAATTTGCTCAAGCCTTAAGGCAAGTGTTAAAATTTACAAGTATAACATGATGTAAGTTATACAATGGCTAATGAAGCTATATTCACTTATGTACTTACCAGTAACATACTTTTTTGCACAAGCATTTCTAAATTTCTAAATCAGGAATGATTTAAATAGAAAAAGGGATCAAATTCAAACAATTTTTAGAAAGTCAGGAGTTCTTTCCCTTGTTGAAAAAAACCTGCTGAATTTGCCCTGCTTTCACTATGGAGAGGTCCATTCAAAGTTTATGAGATTTTAACAGTACAGAGCCTAGTTAGCCTGTGCATCAGTGCAGGATGGCCATTGGCTCAATACTCATGTGGCAAAGGCTAATTATTTTTTGATTTTCAGCATTGTCAAGGGAAGATGAATTAACTTCCGAGTACCAAATATCATAGTTTAAACAAACAGAACATGTTATAGAACTTAACAGATGCAATGCAGCTGCAGCAGATGCAATTTTCAGCAATGTTTGAGTTTCTCAGAGTGGCCATAAAAAACTGTGAACTGAAGACAATATGGCAAATGGGAGCGAGAGTGATTTCCACTGTACAAAATACATGGTTATAATACAAGGGCCATGTCTGTGTATAGATCTGTCTCTCTTTTCTTTTCGATTTAAAATCACACCAACACTGTTATTAGGTAATAAGGTGACTTTCCAGCTTGACTGGAGAAAGACCTTGGGTGCCCCTTTGTGCATTATTTCAGGCACAAGTACAAGCAGATACCTGATCAGAATCGCTAGCTTGAGCCATAAGCTAGCTGGATGGCTTTCTCACAATTTTTTTGTTTTTGTTTTTTGTTGTTTTTTTTTGTTTTGGGTTTAACATCACATTGACACTGTATAGGTCATTCAGTGATGTTTCAGCTTTACTGGTGGAGGAAGACCTCGGGTGCCCTTCTGTGCACTATTTCAGGCACGAACGGGTACCCGAGTAGAACCACCAACGTTTCGTAAGCTATCTGGTTAGCTTTCTCACAATAATGAAATTTCTGACATGATTCAAACATGCAGTAGTGAAGGGCAAGTGACTTTAAGAGCTGGCCCCTTGTAGAACATAAAGAGACTTACACTGTAAACCTAAACATAATTATTAGTCCAAAGAATTTTCCAGTGAAATACCAACTTGGTTTCCCAAATACCAATCAGTGGTTCAGGAAATTTGCATGTAAAACCTTACACAGAGGTACAATTAAGTATTAGCCTCCATGTAAGAGATATAATGTTTGGTCAGGGAAATGCAAATAATGATCCTGTGAAGTTTCAAGTTAAACATTTCAGTGTTTAATAAGATATCAAACCTGGCACATGAAACCATACCAGGCCTCAAGGTTGTAAAAAAAATTTCTTAGTTGAGACTGTCTCAAATCTCATGATTTTCATTGGTCATTGTAATAATATATTCTGTGGCAATCTCTGACCAATGATGCCTAAGATGTGAGTTTGACCAATAAGAATTCGTTTACAACCTCGGACCCAGATGTGATGCTACAGGGGAGCAGAATAACCAAACTTTTCTTTAATATACAGCAGGTATAAAAAAAACAAACCAGTCTGTAAGTTTACATCTATAGTCTGTTTCATAAAATAGCATACAACATCTCCCAAAAAGCATGATTTTCCATTAAAAATCTCTAAACATGGTATGCTTTTCATGCCGTCGCACTTCAATATACGATCTATTCAGCAAACTAGTATTCATCTTGAATATCTTGCATTCTAACATGCACACATTTTTTTTCTCTCCTTCCTTTTGCAATAAACTTGAATGTTTAAGTCTCCAAACTGTCTTTATGAAAAGCTTTTAGGTATTCATATTACAGGATGGCTTTAGGAATGTTTGCTTAAGGTTATATATAGAACAATGATATCTTTAAATTGTATGATATTCAGTTTGCAAAGAGAGAAATAGAAAAAAAAAAATCTTTAGATTATACATTCAATAAATCATGCATAAGTACCTCCAAAATATTTATGTGCAAACTGTCTTATTTAATACTGAATATCTGGTAATGGGAATAAACATAAATGCGAGCGTTGTTAGTTGTTAAAACTTGTTTAAACCTTTTTCTTCGTACTTTTTATTTCCTACTTCAAATTTGTTTAAAAGATTTATCCCCCTTTTTGTTTCATGAATTCATTTTATTGCAGTTCTTTGTAATAGTTCAGGCATTTAAAAATGTGATATCCTCAATTGTTTTCAGGGCTCATCCTGGGGGGAAATTTTAGGGAGAAGTGACGACCTCGCGAAAATTAGGGAGAAGGGAAACAACCCAATGTGTATGCATTAATATGCATGGCTATACATCCTTTAATTATAATATAAACACAATTAACATCACTTATAATATTTCTCCAGTTTATTAATTAATAGTTACTGTAGATTAATTAATAGTAGTATTAATTAAAAGTAAATTAATTATTTAGTAGTAGATCAGGCAATGGCATCTAAATGTTTTTGAGCTGCAAATATGAATATAAAAAATTATTTTTGATCTATTGATCAGCTATTTATAAGCTTTCTCTAAATATGTGTTTATATATTTTCATGTACATTTGTTGATAATAATGTGTAAGAAAAGATATGATGATAAAATCAATTTCATATTTTTTACTTTACTTTTCACAACTTTTAAAATTAACAACATTATTCTAAAAAATAAATTAATTATTCATTCTTGGTGTCTACTAAAAATGTTACCAAACATTCCTGCAAATTGATGACCATGTTTGAAGCATTGTTTATTTCTAAAAACCATGCTTTAACTAAGGTTATGCCAAAAGAACAGTGTTCAAGAAATGACCATGTTCCTGCAATTTTAGTAATGACAATTGTTAACCTTGCAAAGCCATGGTTTGGAAATAGACAAACTGCTTCAATACATGGTCAACCATGGTTTGTCAGTAAAAGCATCAATACCGGAATCTTAATACTTGCCATTATGGTTTTTGGTGCATATTATAACCAAATTTTAACATTTAACTGTTTGCTTTATTTATCTGGTTTTAATGTGAATTTCCTTACTCTTTTTTGTCATAGCTAAAATAGCAGATAAGCCAACTTACGAACCAGCTTCCTTGAATAACTTAGAACAGTCAGTAGTTTCCAATTTCTCTGTAAGAAACCAACTACCAAAATGTCATGATTCTAAATCAACAGTGAGAAACAAATGACTATCTAATTATTTTTTTGTTTGATTTTATGGCACACTAACACCATATATGTTATATGACGCAGAAACAGAAAAGATGACTTTGGCAAACCTTTCAAACTTTAAGCGACACCAGGGGTTAAAACCATCTCACCTTCTGTAGCTAAGACATGCATGCACAGACATCAGTTAATTGCCTCTTACAATCACGCAGGGATAAATGGTGGCTGCAATTCTGATGCCTCAGACTTTAAAAGTACTTACCCCTAAGCCACAAGGGGGCAAATGACTATCAGACTCATTGTCAAAGGTCACTTGTCATGGAATTATTTTGCCTGCCCAAGGATCAAACTAGTGACCCAGAGACCACAAATCCTTATGCTCTCTCTCTCTTTAACAAAGCAAGCAAACTTCAACATTTAACAAAAAAGGTTTAACAGTTTAGGTGACCATGGTTAAGCATTGTTAAACCATGGTTGTAAAAAGTCACAGTTTGCATGACAGTCGTGACTCAGTCAGGCATACTGACTCTTAATTACCTTCCAGAATTATCCCTTATATGCAATGCTGAGGGGGCGTCCGTGGCCAGTTGGTTAAGGTCTTTGACTTCAAACCACTTGCCCCTCACCGCTGTGGGTTTGAATCCCGACAGGGACTTTGGATTCTTTCATGTGAGGAAGCTATCCAGCTAGCTTACGCTACTCAGGTGCCCATTTGTGCCTAAAATAATGTACGGAAAGGCACCCGAGATCTTCCTCCACCAGTAAAAGCTGGAACATCGCGATATGACCTATACTGTGTTGATGTGATGTAAAACCAAAAAAAAAAACCAAACAATGCTGAGCATCAGGTGAGAAGCAATTTTATAGCACTAATCTTTCAACAGATCTTCAATGACACAACTCTGTGAGCAAGGGACCAAGGTCACGTGATAAAAAAGACTCTTTTACTCAACAAATTTAAGGAACCTTATAGTGATTATACTTATAAGTTTCACATTGTACATGTAGCTAACACAGTAGTTAATTAGCACTGTAACTCTGAATAAAAATTTTTTTCATTGCTCAGCAAAACTGTCACATTTCCCACACCATTAATGAAAACAGATCCTGGGGGATATATGTCTTACATTTTTGGCTACACTATAACATTATAGTCAAGTAAACATTTGTAACAATGTCAACATCATTAACCTGCCCGGATTAAATATCGGTGAAACAAATTCCTAAACAACTTACACGCCGACCATCGTAACCATTATAAAATGCTAAATTAAATTATTTGGCCATTTTAATGCAATGTAATGTTATAAATAGTAATGTATATTTATTGTGATTATTATATCATTATAACAATACA